TATATATATATATATATATATATATATATATATATATATATATGCATATATGTATATGTATATTTAAATACATACATATATAATTCTTTCTCTTCCCCAGGAGAGAAGTTGCCGGAAGAACTCCAATCGTCTCAAAGCCGCTATCATTTTATTGGTGAGTGTTTGCACATTTTGGTATACTTTAATATTATATGGAAAATTGCGATTCGAAGAATATGTAAACCGATGTAAAGCGAGAAAGACGAAATAAATAGGGAAATACATTATGTTTAAGAGAATTAGATTATTTTGAAAAAATTAATAAAACAGATTTTAAATTGTAGTATTATGAAAGAATATAATTGATCTGAGTAGGTTACTATTTGTTTCTTAATAAATGATTGCCTTTTCACAAATGGCGGTGTACAATATACGATATCCAATGTAAAGGATGATAATTAATTATCAACTCAGACTTTGTTCAAATATTTAATATTAAGTGATTTCTTTTAAATTATAATAAATTACAAAGAATTTATAATTGAATTTTTTTAAGCGACTTGAGAGGATTTGAAAGTTTAAATTGCTCTAAATTTTGTAAAAATTTCGAGCTATATTATTGACTTCTTGAACTAGATCATCGAATTAAATAATTCATTCCTCTTTATCTCGATTCATCTCGATTTACATTATATCAGCGAATTGTATTAGTGTTTACACGAAAAAAGCGCTATAAAATAAAAAAAATAACATAACAGAATTTACAACTTTTTGCGAGAAGATTTTAGTGGGTCAAGTACAAAACTTGATAATTCTGACGTTGGATAAAACATGATGAACTTTTTAGGCCGGAACCCGTTCTGAACATTAAATTGTTGATCGTTGGTTAGACATTCCGCAAGCGGCCCGGAATTCTCTCGGCCTTCTTTCTCTTTCCAATCGCGAAAAGTTAAAATTTATGTGCTTGACTGATCCATTTTCTCTATTTTGCTTTTGTCTCTCTTCCCCCCTATCTTTTAAATATATTTTATTTGTGTCTTCTTCACTGCGATCTCGCGCGTCTTTTCTTAAGCCTACGTATGATGAATCTCACGTTTACGCTCTACGTTTTGTTGAGCTGGTGTTATGTCCTTGTTTATATGTATGTGTGTATGTGCACATGTACTTGTATTAATCTTTACACCTCCCTTATGAAGCTCACCCGTGTGATTCTGTTTTCTTATAATTTTATTGTTCGCATAAGGTATATCTCTGCGCCGTATCTCCGCAATCCATCTTTGCCCCAATTCATTTAAAAATAAAATAAAAATAAAATATATGTTAAAGCGTATGATAAACATCAAGCGCACTACAAAACAGCTTCGGTTCAGGTTCGGTTCTTATTTTATAATATTTAACATTCGATAGCGCAGTGAAAAGAAATCGCAAATTAAAATGTAGAACAAGAGAACAAGAGAATGACAACACGCGAATGTATGCATCTTCTTAGCTAAAGCTATAAATAACGGGAATACTTTGTGACTGCGAGAGTTGGCAAACTTTTCTTAAAAAATAAGTATGAGTCCAAGATTTACGTACATATAATTAATCATATATACACAATTTAATCGTATAATAATTAGTAAATAATTTTTAACGGCAATTAAATAGATACGGCTCTCGGGAAAATATGTAGCGATCAATAAATACTAATCATAATTGAACATGAAACCAAAATATATATTAATAGAGAAAATATATTTGATTGTTAACAAATTTAACATAATTTCCCTATAGTACAATTTATTTGTATATGTTAACTTAGATAATATATCATCGTAATAGCCGTTAAAAAACTGTTTAAATTCCACTTTATAAATTCCGCTTGTGAACACATTTCATTTATTATGTAACGAATGTATTGCATTCAATTTAAAATATGGATTTATTGGCTCTCAGTTGTTCCTCCGTTTCTACTGTTTTAAATCAGTCAATGGAAAAATAATATTACAGTGACAAATTATCACAATTTTACAATATAATAACCGCCTTTTTCTTATACGGTAATAGTGCACGCGTTCACCGATATTTTTTTCTGGCAATCAAGATCTGAATCTTCTATTCTTGTAAGAAAATTACACATTGTGGATCTACTTTAATATTTTGCTCATTACTTTGAAAATCTAAATATACATTAACTTTCGTGCTTATAAAAAAAATGGTTTTTATTAAATAATAATTATTCCAACAAAGAAAATTTCACTTATATTTTTCATTAAAAAAGGCGAGTGTCCAAATAAGGTCAATCGCTTTTTATATCTTCTTATGCAATACGTTTATTTTGAACATTTGTTTGAAAACATCACGTTTCCCTTTCACGTTTCATCATTCTCTGGGCTACAACGGGACAGCTATCATTCTGTTTTACTCACAAGAAGATGGGCGATGTACAAAACGTTGGTGACACACGCGATCGCAGTTTGCCCATTTCGTCTCTCTTTTCCCAGTCTCAATGCACTGTTTCTTTTTGTGCCTTCAAACAAACCGAGTTTTATGTCGCGCGCATAATTTAGGAACTTAAGAATACTGTGACTTCTCGTCGATATACTTTAATCACCATCTTGTCGCTGTACGTCTCTTTGTGGTCATGAAAAAGTATTGCTAACGTTCTTTAAGAATTGACTCGTTTTGCACGCATTATTATATTCCTCTCTTTTCTCCGTTGCGTGCACGCGTTCACCGAAAGAAATAAAATGACTGTCGTTCCACGTGACGCACATATCCAATTTAAAATGATTTCTCGTTTTCTCTCTCGTTTTTTTTGTTTACCCTGTTGTTTAATGCAATAATAATAACAGCACGCTTATAATAATCGCGTGTATATTCGTCGTTTATATAATTATAATTCATCGACGTTCTTTCTTGTGAATTCAATTATTGTAATGATAATATGTAATAAGGAACCATTTATTCTGCGATATCAACGAAACGCGAATGTCCTAGTCATATAAATTACGCGCATAATTTATTAAGGGCGATGCGGCCCTTGTCGACAGAAAGAAGGGAGGAACCTGTCGTAAATCCTCTGCCAATGCGATTGAATTTCTTATATTTCTGCATTGTGTATTTTAAACGTACTGCCATTGTACTAAAATAACGGCTCGAGACCTTCTTTTATGCGTGCAATTTTTATTCTAAAAATCAAAAGATTTCAATATATTTTCAATTTTGTTTGTTATCTAGTTCGTTTTTAAAATTCAGTGACATTTTGTTCGCTACAATACATTACAAAAGTGCATGCATAATAAAAATTCAAGTAGTCCCAGATAGCAGTCAGACGATAAAGTGATGTCTATAAATAGATAAAAATAGACGTCACGATGTCGTCTTTCAACTTTACTTGAAATTGTATCAACAATAATTATCATTAATCAAGATTAACATGAAATTTGTTTACATTATACGGCTAAGATTTTAATCTAGACAGTGATATTAAATCAATAATTCAGAGTTGAGTGAGGACCTTGATACACAAATTAGCTTACGGATGTTGATAATTAACTCGGTAATGATGGTCATTCATTGAATTGAACCGTTTCGGTTCCGGTTATTTAAAGAAATAACACTAAATCAATTACTCTGAATATCGTTCAAGATAATTATTTCTATTCTCACGCTAATTGAAATTCCTCTCGTCTTTCTGCGCAATATCATAAGGTCACGACAAAGTTAACTTAAACTCTAATCACCAATAGTCCATTGGAATCTATCCAATCTTCGCTGATTCGTCAATTAGATCGCGTTATACAATGTAAAGTTAAATGACATTATCCGAAAGAAAGAGGAGCACACAAGTGAGGCTGAACACGGGAAAGCGTTGACTTTAGAATGCGTTGACATTTGTTTTCTGCATTGTATAACGTAGTCCAATTGAGGCTTGGATCTCCAAAGGGGCCTACTTCTCTTTTATGTCGAGTGGACCTTGGGCCTCTCCTAAATCCGAAATATTATTGGAAGCGCGATGGGACGCAACATCCGATGTCCAGCCATATTTGCGATATATAGATTATAATATAATATTCACTCTCACGTTTATGTCTTTCCTCGGTAGCCCATTTTAGTCCCTAGATCTAATCGCAACCGCTATTAGCAGCCACGCATTTTAATCCTAAAGGGTAACTCTTTCGCACTCTCACGCACGCTCTTATCGTCTTTCTTCCTATCCCTTTCACGCTCGGTCTTTCTCTCGTATAACTTTAGGTTTTTGTCTCTCTTTTTTCCCCTTTCTCATTCGACATCTCCTCGTCCTCCCGTTAAGTTAACATTTGAAGCGTATCGTCGACCGATGCTCCGTATATCGCGGACGAAGATTACGCGATAATTTCTATGTATATATATTTTATATACTACCTTCCTCTCTCAGCTTGATCTTTTTCCGATCGTTTGATCTCCCGCTGTATGAATCTTAAGTTTGCACCTGTACGTTTATCACTGACGCTGGTTAACTAAATTTTTCCTTGCTTGTTTGTGTGTTGTAAGTGGGATTATAATCTAGTGAAGAACCATGAATCGCTAGACTCACACGCCAACCAGAGCTAAGTTAAGCCAGACTATCGGTGTAATTCAGCCTTAGACGATTAGACGCCGGAGATGTGGAGGGTGTGTCGTAGCTTTCGTGTGTACGCGTGTGCATGTGTCTTTGTGTAAAATGTATCGCGGTAGTTTGCCGCTGAAAAAAACTCTCGTACTTCTTTTTCTTTGATCGCATTGGCTCGTCTATAGGGTCATGCATATACGGCATTATTTTAAATTAATTATACGGTAATTTGCGTATGATACGCGTAATATACGTGCATATATGTATATGTATATATACATATATGTACATATATATGTATATACACGTATACATATACATATATGTATATAACAAGGGTTACTGCATGTAATCGGTTTTAAAGCTATACAGCGGCCGATTGAGTCATATAACAGTCATTGTCCGGCGCCTCCGGAAGCTTCAAGTGGAACTTTGAAACGAGCGTTCGGTTTCAATCAGAATTACAGAGTAACATAAATCGCCATTTACACCCTGATTTTCCTTTTGTTACAAAAGCAAGAACACTGCCATCGCGTTGAGTGATTTTATCATGATGTATAATTTAAATATATCTAATATAATAAAAATGTTATAACTTTTCGCGAAAACTATTTCAATTACTGTGTGTGAAACATAGTATTCTTTTAAAATTTATAAATCCACAGTATTTGTAATCATTTTATAAACGCATGCCTTAAGACATGTTTATTTATTAGGACATAAATGGCGGATTTGTCGGCGAAGTGCAGTTAAAGAACTTCCGCTATTCTGTAATTCTAATGATCCATTACTGTGTTAATTTTTCTTAAAATCTTCCGATGTTGCGCATCTCATTGTTTCGAATTTGCCTCATCGTGCATCGGCTCGAAATTCGACGGCAGCTCTTTTGCGTGTCTTCCCTCTTCCCACAAATAATGCTAACAGCGTGACATTAAGTATGTAACACGCCTATGTAACTCCCTCGCTCGCCCGCCGCTACATCTTTCTGCATTATTTCGTTGCGCACCCGGGAAAGCAGGACTGCGACAGGACAGGAGAGAAGCACCGTTCCGCCATTTAGCCAGCGAAAAGGCACGTTGGGAGAGAAGAAGGAGCTTGAATCTGCATGTGCAGACGTAGAGAAAGGGCAGCAAAAAGGATCGCTTGATTTATCCGCTCTACTTTTTCATCAGCCTTTATCCCTCTTCTCTTTTTCTCTCTTCTCCGCGTCATCGTTCCTCTCTCGGCCGCCATTAAACCCATCAACCCTTTCCGCGCATACGATTAAAACTTGAAAGCCCAGAAACAAAGTCTTTCCCAGGTGTGAACGCGCGCGTATGTGCCTATCATTATATAATATACGCGGGCACGCGCGGTGCATGGCGCTCGTTAATAATTGCAATCGCCAGTAATCATGTAATAATTAATAATTATAATATTCGTGAGAGTTGGTATCTCTTCCGTCTCTTTAACTGCCTTAAATACTAGAGGTCATACGCGTTATCGTCTATAATAATTATCAATTATTTATATATTTATATATATATATGTGTGTGTGTATATATATATTTATATCTTTATATATATATATATACTATTTATATATATTCTAGACTTAACCGCTTAAATATTTAGCAATTAATAATATTAATTTAATTTATTATTATTATATTATTATTTCTTTTATTAATGTCGGAGAACGGGCTGGCGTCAATACGCAGTTTCGGCCATAACTAGCCTATTGCAGCGCGCGTTGTTACCTCTTCCTGTTTCCGCCTGACGGTCGGTCTTCCTGTCGCTTTTCTCGTCTTTTTCCTCTAGCCTTCTCTGGACGTCTTCCCCGTTGCGTCAGTTTCTTTCGCTTACTCATCAACAGGATTAATTTTCTTCTCTCTATCTATAGTTGCATCCAACTGGATTCGACTAATGCTCTAAATTCTTTCTTAATGCATTATTACACATTCGCGTAATATTACATCCGGTTATTTACAATCCGGATTTTAAAGTTGCATCGATTGGATCTTACTCGATAGTTGCCTTTTGTTTAACATTATTCGTTTTTTTTAATGTATTGCAACTTTTGATCGTTATTTATATCTTTGTATCTATACAGTAGGCGTGTAAGTATTATTTTTTCGTCCAGAGATCGTCCACTGTGTTTAGCTGCCTTAAATCATCCATGTTACTTATTATATCAGGCGACCGTGCTGCGTTCTGCCGTCTCGTCCATCCTGGCGAAAAAAGAATTAAGACTTCAACAAGTTAAATATTTATCTTCTGAAAAAGCAGCCAGTTTTAATCGATTCCAAATATAGTCGACAAAAAATAAAGACCGATCTAAAATCTCTTCGAAGAAATGTTCCAATCTTGTGAGTGTGTTTCAAATGTATAAAAATTAAAAATTATTTGTTTTTCTTTTAATATAAATCGTTACAGAAAATAAGATTAAAAAATTTCATTATTATTTTTATTGATATTCTATTACTATTTCACGCAAAGTTGTTTCTTGTTAAAATAATGTTATATGTTGAAAAGAGATTGAAGAGAAAACTGAACTATTTAACATGTTATACATAGTAATATTGGTCAACGCGTTTTTAATAAATTTATCTCAACATAAAACGTAAATACAATTCACCGAAATATTGCCGATGGCATACATACCTGTTATTAGGTCTTAACAAGGCTCAATGGTAGCCATTAGTGAACGCCGCTGGTATTAGAGGACCCTGGAACAATAGAATATATCGATCTCATCAACCTTTCCATAAAAAGAATGACTATTACACAATGGGGTGAGCACAAAGATAAACCCGTACTTTTGCCTGCATATCTAAAATTGCAGCGTGCAATTGCGGTACTTGGCCTTTGAAGTTGTAGAATCTCTTTTCTTTTTGCTATATTTTTTGAAATTCCACAATATAAAGATAATAAGTGACAAAAATGCGAAGAATAATACGCGAAGTGATGCTACATGAGAAGTCTTTTGGGTATATTAAACACGTTGATATTGCAGAGAATGAATATATTATAGAAATCCTATAAACAATATTAAGTTTATCTTCGATACAAGCCAATGTAATAATTGTCATACTATACCTGACGGACCAGAGATGTATTCATAAAATATAGAATCAGAATATAGAATGTACAAAGCGTATATAATATGTACATCGAAGCAATCTTTTTCTGTGAGATTGAAAACCGGTTGCATGAAATATAATGTATGTTTGCAAGAAGGTATCCACATTTGCTTGTTATAAATGTGTAAAGCTGATAAAATTGTAATACGGAACGAAACGATAAAGAGCTCGGTCGATGGTCAAATCATTTTTTAATTTTGCAATATTTAATTACACGTGTGTGAAATTCATTTCAAATTCTTGCCTGTAATATAAATTTTCAACATAAAAATATGAATATACATTTTTTCATCGAGTTTATTTGGATAATTTATTTTACCAACCATAAATACATTTATTAAAAACACTGATATGCTTATACATTTAGGAGAATATTTTAGCAGATTCTTCGATATTCATTAAAATGCAATATAAAAACTTTTATTAGCTTTTTTCGTAATTGTTGCTAGTTAAACCAATCGTTACTTTCTCTGAACTATCTTCCGGTTTTACCTCACATATTGTCAGTTATAAAATTCTATTTAATTAACGAAGTTCCATTGACGAGATTTGTTAAGCATAATTAATTTGTTTTCAACGCAATAAATCGTACAGCTTACGACGTTAGCGATGGGACAAGTGAAGTAATTGGGTAAAACCTGATTGCCGGACTAGGTAAACCCTGACTGAAATGCGGAAGTGATTTTGACTATGCTCTTTATCCTTACGTTGCATATCCTTGTCGGGAGGGGCCCGATCCGGTGAATAAAGGGGGAACAGAAAGTGGACTTACGGGACTGTAGTTGAGCGGGGCACGGGATACGGCGATCGCGGGGAACGCGGTCGTGGGGGGCTGCGGGCTAGCTGCGGCCTGGACGTAGCTTGCGACTGCGGAATCCGCGGCTGCGGCTGCTGCTGCGGCGGCGGCGCTCGAGCTGTACATGTCAATTGGGCCCGGTGAATTGGCCGCCGGGAAAGACCGGCCCTGCGGCCCACCGTGGCCGCCGGCCCCGTGCGGCGACGCCGGCGGGAATCCGGCCTGCGCTGCGGCCGCCTGGTAGTTGTTCATCACTGCAACGAACCCGCGTCAATGTTCACCCTCTTATCCCAATCGAACGAACGTCGTTAATAAGGCAAGGACAAGCCTAAGCAAAGGCTTCGTCCTTGCCTTTCATGGGACGCGCGAAACGCGAAAATACTCATAAATTCGCTTCCGAATTTAGACTTTGTTGAGAAATGCCAAGAATAATTTTTAACATCCTCAATTACCGCGGCTCAGCTTGTGAATAATGTAACTGTTGTAATTTAATCAGACTGTAATAATAGTGTCGTTAATAGTGTAGTTTTACATTAATATTAGTTTTTCATTTATTTTCATTATAAAGAGAACAATTCTTTTTACAAAGTTAATTCATAAAGATTCAGCTTTGACCGTGCTAGAGTAGTTGAGGATCCAAAAAGATGTCATCTCTCTTATCTAACCGTTAAATAACTATTAAGCTGCATTTAATTTTCAATCTTGTTATTGTAGCTTACGCTATTTTACAACAATTAAACGTCTGAGTGACAATTATGGGACGTGAATATTCTGATTGTTTCATTCTGCCCGCGATAGCGATACGAGCGTTGCATGCCTTATCCTTTTCAGGAATCTTCCATGCAAGTACCTTGAGGCACGTTGCTCCGTTGGCGTTTGCCCCTAGTTTTTAGCTTTTTCGCCTCTTTCCGCTTACTAATATCAAAACTCATTTCAGTTGTATAACGATACGCTCTAAACGGGTTAAATCTCATTAGAGATAAGGTTCTTTTTAACTCACATATATTATACAGTGTGATATTTGTTGTAACGAGCTCACGCATATTCGTGCATAAATGAACGACGATGATCTCTGGTCTACATTTTACTTCAAGGACTGTGCATGTTAAATGACCACGCATTTAAATGATCGCGTAAATGCCATTATATCAAGGAGTATACGTATCATGTTTACATACATTGAATACAAGAGGGAAGGGATGGAGTCAATTTAACGAATACCTTCTCGTAATTTCATTGGAATGGAAAAGAAAAAGGAAGGAATAAAAGAAGACACTCATGAAGCGCATTGCAAGGCCAGCCTTTATACATACGATCATAGAGATAATGAAAAAAGCGCCTTGCGCACATATATACATATGTACGACATTGTACAACACGTCACTGGGACAAGCAACGCAATCGCACGAGACAGTGATGGCGATCGACTTGAAAAGTTATGAGATACAACAGGCTTTCGACTACGATTACCGTTCTAACGTTTGGTTTGCACGAGGACTGATTTTCCTTCGTGCTCTTAAGAAATCAAACGCAGCAAAAATTGACAAGGTTGGTTAGATTAGAAAGGTCAAGCGACGAAAACTAAACTTACCCCATTTCGCGTTCAGTTCTCGAAGTAAAGAGCAAAGTAATTCAGCGAAGTAATTCAGCTCGCGTGAGAATACAAATGAGAAAAGAAATAAAATGTGAGGAGAAACTATGATGATGCGGATAATTTGGTGCAATGAGAGATAAGTCAAAAATTGAAGTTCTAATAAAAAGAAAGCGCGCGTTTTCTTATATTATTAATATCGAATAAGTTTATTAGAAATCTGAAGATTATAAATCTAAATAATAAATTATCTTATTCCTCTCGTGCCGACTATAGTGAAAGCAAGAAAATTCAAAAACAATATTCCATCTCTTCTGAAAAATTTAGTAAAATAACCTTGTCTTCCCTTTGCACCAAATCTAATTGTTGGCAAGGAAATAATACTAATTATTAAATATAATATTAATGTCAAAAGCTAATTGTTTTCTTCAAATAATTGAACATCAAATGATGTTTTTTTTTTAATTATGTAAATCTTTTTGGCATTTCTAATTTTTTACTATACTTTTCATCCCTATTTGCAAGTAAAATATTTTCAGTAAAAGATGTCACGAGAAACATATATTACCCTTTCGAGCTTTTGGAGCACGCTAACGCATATTTACTGTATATGTATAATGCATAACAGCAGGGATTAAGTACTAATACGATTACTATATTTATAAAATGTTTCAAAACCTTGCTCAAACTCTTTCTAAACCTTGCCAACAACTGCTCTTCGTTCTCATACATACAACAAGGAGCGAAATCATAGCGAAACTACTCTACGCTACTTTCGAAGCTGTGTCACACACGGGAAAACAGTGTCTCGGCGTGTCGTCCGCATTCTGAAACTTTAGCACTCGTAAAAACTCTGACAGATAGCCAATAAGAAGCGGCGGAGATTAATGCATCTGACTCGAGCGATTTCGTATATCGCGCTCACGTTGTTCGCGCGCAAGAGCTCGCGTAAATGTCATACGGTACGTACTTTCGGATTAACGGCGGTCACGAAAGCGGAGGAGGAAAAAGACGATAGGAACAAGGAGGAAGAAGGGGAGAAAGAAAAGAAGGGCGGTGAAGAGCGGGTGTGCGGGGAAGGAGGAAAGAGATCGTAAGCGGGAGGTACGCGAAGAATTTGAAACTCTCTCGACGGGAGCGAGGAAAAGAGAGGCCGATGGTGACGGGGCCACGGGAAACCGAAAGCGCCCCGGCGTACAATCTAAAAACCCATTCAGCTTTTAAACTCTTGACAATGGCGGCCGGTTACAAAGTTTTGTGTCGGTACCATGGTGAGAGAGAGGCGCGTAGAGATCGGGGGGTTGGAGGAGGGACGAGCGCGATTCAAAAGTTTGATTTATTTGAGAGGAGATTGCGGACGGCACGACGGCGCGACGGCGGGCAGATCGGGGGCAGATTTTAGATGGGGAGTACGACGAAAAAAAAAGAACAGAGGCGTATTTCGCTGCCGGCATCTCAGCGCCCCCGCATGTGTGTGGCACTTCTCCTCCTTTTCGTTCATCCGCGTTTCTCGGCGATTCGGCAGGAAGTAATCGCGTAATAATAAAGTGATGAAAAAAAAGTAACGAGACGGTATCCGTTAGAATTGAATGACGTTTTTCTTTAGGAAAAGACATTACTTGGCAAGATGAAGGAAGGTGCCAAGAAACAGGAAATTTCCGCTAAACTGTGAAGTTATTCATCTCTGAGTTTATTATCTGACAGAATAAGCGATACGATCCAACTTACTTTATTAATATCCCGAGAATAACATCACGAATGACGTTATTGTCTTCCCACGACAGTTTCCGACAGTTTGTTTAGTCGAGATTTATGTATAATACAATATTTATTGATGAAGTATATCTACGTATAATAGTCATGCACAGTAATCATGCTTATCAAAGTAGCCATGCTTTCCGTTGCTCACGTACACGAATTGTAATCGTCTTCTGAAATTACAGACCGATTAACCGATCGAAATCTTTCTCCAACTATTATTCTTTCACTAGATGGAGATTGATTTTGGAGAATTAATCGTTGAGAAACACATGAAATGGTAAAATTGGGAACTTTAAAGAATAATGTTTCGCACAATTATCCATGTCTATATTTGAAGGTAGAATTCAGTTTGAGAAAATATCGCTGCAAAATATTATGATATTAAAATGAGATGACAAAAGCAATGATTGATTCGAACGTAATATTGCGTTTTATTCTGCAATATTTCGTTGAAGCGATCGTGAGCGTACTCTTTCAAAGATATTGCGCACAATCTTTATTGCTTGCAATCTCGCGTGACTAGTTAACGAAAAAGCCATCATAGCCGAAATTGTTTGTATTTCCGGGCGAATCGATCCGCAGCGCGACGAAGCGAGTCGAGAAAGCGCATTACATTTGCAGCCGGGAAGAAGAAAGACTTTTAAAACGTACCAGAAAGTGCTTGTGTAAGTAAGGGCGTGTTGTTGTTTGGGGTGAGTTGTCCATTGGTTAGATCCACTGAAACATAAAACTTCGGTCACAACTGCGCCATACTTGCAACACGCGTATGTGCTTTTGCTATTCATTTTCGTCGACTATCACTCGGCAATAGTCTGAAAACCAATGTGTATATACATATATATATATATATATATATATATATATATATA